GCGGTGAACAAGGTCCAGGACCGCCTCTGCAGCGCGGGCATTACTGGATGATCTGCATTTCTCACTTCCTGCTGTTTCCTTTTTCTATGGCAACCGGCAGAGACGCTTCTGCAGATTGCTTTATCAAGAGGCCGCAAGTTGTGCGTGGGATAGGGGGAGGGAGCCTGCAGAGTTGGCAGGAATTCCTGTGTCCGGAAACACCAGTCCATTGGCTCAGTATCCAGGCCTGTCCTGTGCATTATAGGATGTTCAATAACATCCCAGGGCTCTATCCACTAGATGCCATTGCATCCCTTCCCCCCTCCTCTGCCCAAGTTGTGACAACCAGAAATGTCTCCAGACATTGCCAAATGTCCCCTGGAGATAGAAATTACCTCCAGTTCAGAAGCATTGTTATATGAGGACCCCAAGTGTCTCTTGGAGTTCCACACTCACTCCCAGCTCCTGGAACAGGGCTAGGAATCTCTCACTGCTGAGTAAGCATTTTAGCATACAAAGCTTCTCATGTTACACTCATGCTCCAAGTTGCCCATAGAATGAATCTTAGCTCCCGTGAGACCCTTCCTGATTTGACCCCTGCTCAGGGTCCAGCCAGAATCATCTCCTGGAACTGCCTACACTCACATGTTCCCGTCTAGCCACATAGGAGAACTCACTCTTCTGGGAACCCACCGTGTTCTCTCACAGGTTGATGTCTTTCCTTCTCTTCTTCTCTCTCTTCTTCCTCTCCCTCTTCTTCCTCCTCCTTCTCCTCTTCCTTCTTCTACTTTCTCCTTCTCCTTCTCTTCCCCTCCCCCTCCTTCCCCTTCTCCTCTCCTTCCTCTTCCCTTTCCTCTTCCTCCTTTTTCTGTCTCTGCCTGACCTGCCCGCTTCCTGGTATCTCTCTGGAAGACCGTTTCTTTACTCATCAAGTTTCCACTTAAGCACTCCTCATCTGTGAAGCCTCCCTGGATTGCCTCTGACAGACTCACACACTCTTCCCTAGACTCCCACTAGATACCTTCTGCTGGTCTTTATTGTAGCAATGACCTCATTGCATCCTAATTGTGGGCATGTACGTCTGTCTCTCTCCAGACCCCGAGTAGGGCACGGCAGTATCTACTTTGACTTCCTCTCCCAGCTCCTGCACAGTGCAGTGTGTGCAGTTATACAATAACTCTGCACTGAACGAATAAGTAGATCAGCCTGCCCCATGCCCATGAAGCTTTTGCCTTCTCCTGTACCCTTGCTCCCCTTCCCAAACTCCTCTGGCTTGGGGTCCTCTCTGGGGATTCACTTGTGGGCTGCCTCAGTCTTTCTACTTAGCTATTATCTTTCCTTAGTCACTTTATGCGCCAGGTATCCCATAACAGCAGCCAAAGCAGAGAAAGCCTTTCTGGTTTTTAACTATGGCTGCCCGGTATCCTCCTTGTTCTCCTTGAAGTTTCTACTATACAGTGAAAACAACCTCCTTGATTCCTCATTTCTTCTCTCCTGCACTCCTTTTGTCCCTGTCTCTAAACTCTTCTTAGGAGCTGTGGATGTTCTCTGCCACACTTCAAGTTGATCTTTCCTGGAGACCCTCTTGCTATGTGTATTCAGTTCTGCATTGGGGCAGGCGGCAGAGGCCACACTCCTTTCCCTCCTCTAAGGAATTTTCTTCTAGAAGAGACATTGTCATGCAGTGAAGTCAGGGAACTAAAGCAGCCATATGTCATAAACCCTGTGCCTGGAGATGTCTGGGAACAGGTCAGGGAATCCCTTCACTGTATAGCAATTTCCTAGATATCCAATTCAAAGTGAAAAATTCCCTTTTCTAAGATTGAGTAATAAACTCATTTCTTTCTATGGTGATAAATTTTTAAGAATCCCTTCTGCCTTGAAACATCCATTGATGATTGACCAGCATATTCCCACCTCCAACCAGGGACTGTATCTGGATATTAATGATAGAAGCTTCAGTTCCTTCCATTTATACCATATCTCAGAATGTCTACATTTATCCTATCTCATTCAGTTATCACAACTGTGAAAAGTAGAAGCTATTGTCCTATTTTACAGATGAGGAAAGTCACAGTCAGAAAAACTAAACAGATTGCCCTGTGTTACTCTTATTAAAATTCATGTTCAGGTCTTTCTGAAGCCCAAGTCCTTGAAGTTTCCACCAAACCACATTTTGTTTCTTTTTAACAAATGATATCGTCTGTTTACATGTATCTCCTACCCATGACCAATGCCCCTCTCACTGCCCCCCACCAGCATACACACCCACACTCACACACACACGCATACACACCTACCTAGAATTGCAACCTCCTCCAGGGCAGTGCCTATGTGTTATTCTCCCTGTATTCCTCCCATCTATCCGAGTGTCCTACAATTTGTGGGTTCAGTAAGTGTTTGCCCAGTTGATTTGAGTATTTTCTTACCCATGAAACCAAGATTCATATGGACCATAGATAAATTGTCATATTTAGATAAGAAGTAAAAATAAGGAGATACTATGGGAGGAAACAACAAACAAATTTTATAGGCCTCCTTTGGGGCTTCCCAAAAGTAAAATAAATTAGGACAATTTCCCCAGACATCACGCCCACTGCTCAATGCTTAAATCAAGCAGTAACCTCATGGCCACTCTATTCATCTCCTACCCCAGAATCGCTCTCTTCCGCAGCACCGTACTTATTTTCCTTACCCATGTGAGATTATCTCCCTGTGTGTTTTATAATTTTGTACTGTGAGCTCATCTCCGGTATGCTTTAGCTGAGGGAATCTGTGCAGCTTGAGTTGAGAGTGTTTCTACACCAGGCTTTTACATTGGCTTCTGGCAGACATCACAGGGCTAGCACCAGCTTCAGACTTTTCTAAAATATTAACCCTCAGATTAGTATAAATCTGAACTCAAAACCCATTTACCTATAAAAAGTCAAGGGAAACGTTTTCCTCCCACTCTCTACCTAGGCCAGAAGAAGTAAGCTTTTGTGCCCTCTCTCTGAACTAGTGGAAAGATTTTTTTCAACCTATTTTTTCATTGGAAAATTATCCTTTTGAACCCCTGTTACATGCAGGGACTCAGTTCCAATTCTCTGCTTTTCTTGAGACCAAGGCCTTTCTCTGTCTCTGTAGAATCATTTAAACCACAGCCCTTTGGTTACTATGATTTCTGAGTCTCTTCCTTACTCCTCAGGGCAGCTCCAGCCACAGCTCATACCTGTAGTTCTGGGTTTCCTTGGCTTGGCCTCTGGGAATATCCTTTTATTTTGAGCTCAGCTGCACATTTAAAAAAATGTTTGTTGGACTTGTACTGTATTTTAGACACCAGCCTGGGAAACACCTACATCCGATGGCATGACTTTTAGCTACTCTCTGTAAGTGGCTTTGCTTCTAGGTCAGTAAGCCCTAAATTACCTCATATTCTTACCCAAGGCCATCAGAGAGAAGTTGAGCCTTGGGTGGATATTATACATACCACCACAGATGGAACCAAGAGATTTCCTAGACATAGTTCTGTCAGATGAACCAAACGGAAGACTTCCAGTAGTTGAGCCAAAGTGTTTAACTTTCCCTGTGCTTGAAAGACATTCTTAACACCTTCATCCTTTCCAATGAAGCTTTGGCTTGAGGAGTTTTGTACCCCTTAATCTCTGACTCAAATCAAGGATCAAAGATTAAACGTCATCCCTTGGTGACCTCATGTTGAAGACATCAATCCTTACTAGGAGTTATCTTAATGTGTTTGAAACTTGTTGTTGTATATTTTTGAAATGAACTTGACTTTGTGGTTTTGAGGGAATGTCAGGCTAATTTTAGGGCCAGTAAAATATATTTATGTATAAATATTCATATAATAAAATAGGTATGTGTTCTTGAAACTATATATGCAACAAATAGCCTCTTTGAACAAAAAAAAATTAGAAAAAGATGTTTGTTATATGTTATCCAGCATTTCAATGTATTTTCCAGAGGATTTCCTTCATGATACTTATTACAAGCTATTTTCTATCTCTCCCATCAGAATGTAAGGCACATGAGGACAAAGACAACGTCTGTCTAATTCACTACTATATCCTAGCAGCTGGGTCAGTTCCTGATATATAGTCACATTCAACAAATGTTTATTTTTTTTTTTTATAATTTTATTTATTTATTTCCCCAAAGCCCCAGTAGATAGTTGTATGTCACAGTTGCACATCCTTCTAGTTGCTGCATGTGGGACGCGGCCTCAGCATGGCCAGAGAAGCCGTGCATTGGTGCGTGCCCGGGATCCGAACCCAGGCCGCCAGTAGCAGAGCGCGCGCACTCAACCGCCAAGCCACGGGGCCAGCCCCAACAAATGTTTATTGAATGAATTGTAAGTAGAAGGAGTTGGCTCTGCTATAATGTTTGCTACTATAAAGATGAGAGGCTCATATACCCGGCACACATCCTTCAAATCCACCATCCGGTCCCCAACACTTCGGGATTAGGGATAAGATAGCCTGTCTCCTTCGATACATGAATCTTAGGCTTCCATTTCATAATCTCTTTTAGGTCCACCTGGATTTTATCATTTATCAAAACCACACATTATTTCATCTACATAAAAATGCCACAGAATTGTGTGGACAGTGCCACCCTCACTCAGAGACATTCCATCCCTCCATTGCCTGCATCGTAAATTCCAAACTCCTCAGCCCGAAAGGCCTTCCATGACCTTCCCTCAGTCTAGTTTTCCAGCTTCAAGTTCCACTGGGCTTCCCTTGGTCACTTTGTTCTAACCACATTGGAATCAGCCTCCTTCATCAAAACCTTCATTTCTCTAGCCTTTGATCATCTCTGCATTGAAGATCCTTTTCCTCTTCAACCTTCAAGGATGAGGACAAATTAAAATGCCATCTCATCTAGAGATCCATCTCCCCTCCTACTCCAACAGTGTTACTATTGTTATGATCATTAGCTACCGTGCGTCGAGAGTCACCAAACACTCGTGCATGCACGCGCACGCACACACACATACACACTGAATCCTTTTGCTTTTCCAGGAGGTGATTTTGACTGTTCTCTAACTGATGACTGGGAGTCAGAGAAGCCGAATGCAGAATCTGTGAAAGCCTCCTCTGCCAGCCATGTCACGTCTCAGACTCCCAGAGAAAACTCCCATGACCCATTTCTTCAGTCCCAGTTGGTGGCTCCTGAACATCTCCAAGGGAACATTTTGAATCATTCAAGTGAGTTTGGTTTTATTTTTAAATCTTTGCCACACCCAGAGAATTCTTCCTTTCCAGGCCCAAAAATGACTTAGAGATGACTCATATACACTTAGGAACTGGTATCAACCTGAGCGAGGAGGGGAGGACCTGGGGTGCTCCCAGCACCCATATGACGCATTAGCAGAGGAGGTGACTGCCTTCAGGGTGTCACCTTAGAGGCATCAGAAGGACTGGACTTGCAGTGTTTTGTTTATTTTTTTTAAACTCTGAAGACATTTGGCAAAATGTTAAGCTTCACTAAATCTGGGTAGTGCACACAAGTGTCTATCATTTTACTCTTCATACCTAGCTGTGTATGTGATGTATTCTATATGAAGATAAGAAAAAGGAAGAAAGAAAAGAAGAAGAAAACATCCCTTAATGCTATGCCCCTGGCAAGGAAAGGTCAAAAGATACAAAGGTATTGGTATTTCCCGTCAGGAGTAAATCTGAAATAGGTTCAATAAGCACGTCCCCTAATCTCTGGTTTGCTAACATCAGATTAACCATGTTTGCACACAGTGTTGCATCAAGGCCCTGTCATCAGCTTGCCAGGGTCCAAAGCCCAGCTTCCGCTTGTTAGCTGGAACTCAGAGGCAGTTTACCAAACTTTCTAAAACTTGACATTTTTATCTGTAAATGAGATAATCATAGTTCCTATCTTGTAATGGCTAAAACAATTCATGTAAAGCACTTAGCATCATACGTCGTGTATACGAAATACTCAAAAAATTTAAGGTTATGATTATACAAGATTGAGGTTACACAGAAGAATAATATCTTCTCTTTATTGGCCTTCACAAAATCATGACTATTCACTTCACTGACCATCCCTTCTTCTACTCCCAAAGACAATATGCCCTGCTCCATGTTGTTCCCAGTGCAGCTATTGGGTAGATGCTAAAGGGTTTTTAGCTCCCTTTCCAGGTGATGGGGCGACAGAGAAAGCAGCTTTCATTGTTTAGACAGTTTCCAGGTGATCAACACCTGCTAAGGCTCCACAGCTGCTTCCTCCAGGGAGCCCACCCCGTGCTTCTGGGGAGGGGGTGTCAAGTGACCCTTCTTTGTGCTCCTCTAATGCCCAGGGCTCCCTTTTTCCTGCCCGTTTCCTGCACTGCCCTTTGCGTGTTTACTTCTGCATCTCGCCCACCAGGCTACGAGCTCCTTGAGGATGGGCGCTATGTCTTAGTCACCTGTGGACTCCAAACTGTTCACTTAGTGCCTGGCAGAGGGCAGGTGTTCCACGACGGTGCTGATCCAAATAAGTGTGTCATCTCCATTTTACAGATAATGACACTCAAGTTTAGACAGGTGAAGTACGACTTGGTGCATGTTCTTTGCTGTGTCTGGAATGTGTCTCCTACTGACTGTACCTGGAAGAACCCTACTCCTTCTTCAAGGTCCAAACCAAGCAAGATCACCTCTGTGGGGCCTTCTCCGCCCCCTTCTGGGTGGTGGAGGTAGCACTTTACATCCCTGTGATTCCCTAGCACTCTGTATGTATCTCTCTTGGAACTATTTTCCTCTTCCTCCTCTGGGTATAAAGCCCTGGGTGAACAAGCTCTCCATCTGATTCTATTTTACCTTCTTCACATGTAGATTTTGAGTGTGCAGTCTGTTCCGGGTGATGTTCCACATGCTAAGGATATGGGCATGCATGACATGGTCTTTATCAGTCAGGGTGTTTTGAGTTCCAGCAGATGGAAAGCCAAGTCAAAATGGATTCATCAGGAACAAATGGATTGGTCTACAGTAACGAGGATTCCAGGCATAGATTTAGGTTTCTGTTAGTCTCTACTTTTGTTGCCTCTTCTCTTCTGTGTCAGCTTTACCCTTTAAAAGGCTATTACTCCGTGGTCGTTCTTGATGGCCCTGTGCCTACAACTTCCCATTTTCCAGTCGAGCAGAAAGAGATTATAACCTTTTGGAGTTATGACAAGAAGCTCAGTTTCACTGGGTCTGGAAGGGTCCCACTGACATGACAAAACCAATCACTTTGTCGATAAGTATGTGAACCTCGAGATGGCATGGAGTGGATCAAATGCTGGGAGGGAAATTAGTTTCTCCACCTGAACAGCGCACAAAGAGAATGGGAGGGGTGGTTCCCCAATGAAAGTAGGGGCACTGCCACTAAAGAACAGCAAATAGATGCCGACTATTCTCAATGAGCTTGCAGTCTAGTGGGGAAATAAAACAGCAATTTTAATTCAGTGTGAAAAGATTGCTGATGGAGACGTGCATGAGGTATAACAGGAGTACAGCAAGGGAGCAGCTAAGGACCACGGTGGGGGAGGTGGTTAAAGGAATTAAGGAAGGCTTCCCGAAGGAGGTTACAGTTGAGCTAAGCCAAAATAGGTACTAAGTAAATGACTATTGATGGAACGAATCAATGAACACCTTGTTCAAAATCACATGACTCATCTTCGTAGAACTTGAATTTAAGCTTGGTCATCCTTCAGTATTTAAGTCTAGTGATCTTTGCAGTTTGTCAAGCTAGACTTGTTTCTGCGAAAAAATGTTTTCCAAATTCCACATGAAGTCGGAGGAGGCTAAGAATAGAAACACACTTAAGAAGGATGGTTGATGTTCAACTGAACCCACAATAACTTGCTTAATTCTCAGTATACATGAAACACTGTACATTTGCAGTGACGTCATTGGCGACTGCTATATTTTGCATTGCCAATCTTCAGTATTCCGCCCATATTCTGGACTAAGTAGGTCATGTTAGCTGGCTCAATCTTCATTCACAGCATAAATAGCAAAAATAAATACATTCATAGCACAAAGCCATTCCAAGTTTTAAACAACTATTGCAAAATTGAGCTTTTGAAGCGTTTGGCAAAAGTGAAGTTGAGGACTATTTATACTTTCCTTTAAATCTTTATGTGGTAATCCTTAAGCCAGCTCTGACTTCTTTTAGGTGATGGGAGTAACACTCAGGGTTGAGGTTGGTTTAACTCTTATATGTATACCTGCTGGAGGATTTGGAGTCACTTGCACTGTGGCTCAACAGCACTGCAATATTTTACTGATAGCAAAGAGTTTTCCAAGGCCAAAGAGTTCATGATATGTATTTTCTTTTTTGCCCTTTAGAGACTCCCAGTACGCAAAGTTGCAATTCTTTTTCCCTGCCCCATTTCAGGAAAAACATTATGTTCTGGCTAGATGTGTGTTTTCAGTCTTGGCTCTGACACCTTCTGGCTGTGTAACCTTGGACAGATTGCGTCATTTCTCTCAGTCTTGGTCTTCTCGTGTGCAGAACTATGGTAATCATTCCTACCTCACCAGTTTGTTGTGTTGATTAAATGAACCGATGTATGAAGGCTCTTTGTGAATTATAAGGCACTCTCTAAATTTGAAGCACTATTATTATCATCAACATCAGAGTTAGATTTTTGACATTAGCATAAAATCTCCAATTCCTTTCCCCAACATTAAAGTAAAAGGCAAGCTCAAAACTGTTTACGTGGCCCAGTCATTTATTTATTTATTTTTTAATTTTTGTTTATTTATTTATTTTTTTGTGAGGAAGATCAGCCCTGAGCTAACATCCGTGCCAATCGTCCTATTTTTCTTTTGCTGAGGAAGACTGGCCCTGAGCTAACGTCCACGCCCATCTTCCTCCATTTTATGTGGGACGCGGCCTCAGCATGGCCTGACAAGCCGTGCGTCAGCGCGCGCCTGGGATCCGAACCCGGGTCGCCAGCAGCGGAGCGCGCACACTTGACCACTAAGCCATGGGGCCGGCCCCCCAATCATTTATTTTTTAATGATAGAAGAAACTGATTATTTGTAGAAATTTTCTAATGAATGGCCCGGTACAACATTTGATCATTTTATCTTGTTACTTATGACAAATTGCCTGAGCTGACATACATCTGAAAAATTTTGGGGGGGATGTGTGGAAGATAAGTGTTAGTATGATTTTGTTGTTCCAAGATTATTTAATCAGCAGTGATTTCTAATTTATTTATTTTTATTTTTCCTATTAGAAACCAGTTTGTTGCGAGAAGTATCCTCTCAAGTGATTCTGCTTGTTGCATGTTTAATCATTTCTGCATGTGCAAGGTAATCCAGATTTTATTTTCATGCAGTGGTGATTCATAATTAATGAAGCTGTAATTGATTGATGATTTCCTTGCCTCTTTCACAAAGCATTTTAGGTATCTCTGTGGCTAAGATTTGTTCATTTGTCTGTCCATGATCAGTGCCCCTTTATCTGTTACTTCCTTCCTCCCATAATCTCACAAAGCACACAAAAGCCAGTGGATCTTGCTAGAAATTGGATTTTACCATGTATCATCCTTTGTTTAAATCCTCAGTGACTCCCGGTTACAGATACAGTTTAAGTGCCCCTGCCTGGAGTTCAAGGGTCCCAGTGGGACTCCATCTTTCCCACTATATTTTTATATCCTAACATAAAGTGTCTGTTCCAGGGAAGCCCCCTCAGCATCTCAGAGCACATAGTGCTCTTGCCTGATTATAGGCATGTTTCTGTTCTACCCTTTGTCTAGCATGCCCTTCCTATTCTTTTCTTGCCCAAGTCTTCAGGGCGGTGATCAAGTCCCTTCTTGCTAAGCCCACTCATGCCTCAGGGCCTTTGCACTTGCTGTTTATTCTGCCTAGTACAGTATTCTCCAGAAAGCCTCATAACATGTGCCCTTACTTCTTTCTGGAATCTGTTCAAATGTCCCATCATCAGAGAGCCCTTCCCTGACAACCCTGTATAAATAGCACATGACTCTCACACACACCTGGCTTTACTTTTCTTCACAGCACTTATCACCAGCTGACCTATTATATGTTCACTTGTTTAAACGTTAATGATCTATCTCTCCCTACAAGAATGTGAGCTCTCTGAGAGTGGAGACGTTGTACATCTCCTTCACTTCTGTATCCCCAGTGCCAGGGGCTCGTCGATATTTGTTGACCCTCTTGAGGATCAGATACCTCACGTCATTTGGTGGAGTTGTGTTTTTAAATACAAAGTTCTGATTCCAATCCCTTGAGATACTAATGTAGATCCAGCAAGAATCAGTATTTTCAAACAAGCTTCCCAGATAATTAGGAGGATTGAGAAGTATTTTTAGATCACAATGGGACCAAAAGAACGAAAAGGAGGGGAGGTCCTGTGGTTAAAAATAAATTTGCAAAATTGTGCGTTATATGCCCCAAGTTGGAGAATCATAGTGTGCATTAGCGTAATAAAGGGCCAGTGAAATAATATAGTGAAGAAACTTGATTGGCCTTATTTAACTTAGTGTTTCCCAAACTTAGCTTCTCTTGGAACGCTTTCCTTTATTTCACAGGACTATGAATGAAATGTTCCTCTTAGGTTAGTTTCTGTACAAACTCCCCCCTTAAGAAGGATATTAACTCCCCATCCCTTGAGCATGAGCTGCATTTAGAAACCTGCTTCCAAAAAGTAGTGTATGGAAAGAGCGAAAAAAGGTAACTTTATAGGCGAGAAACCTGGCAAACTCTATGTCAGATGGTCAAGGTTACCATCCACAGGGATAAGTCATGTTGAGAGCATGTACCCTTGATACCATGTGATGAGAATGGCACTTCTCCTCTATGGTCTTCCGAACCCCAGTCTAACCACAAGAAAAACCCACACTGAGGGACAATCCACACATGATCTGACCAGTACTCCTCAAAACTGCTAAGGTCATCAAAACCCTGGAGAGTCTGAGAAATTGTCACAGCCCAGAGGAACCTACAGAGACGTGACTAAATATAATGTGGCATCCTGGATGGGATCCTGGAGCATGTAAATTAGGGGAAAACTGTAAAGTCCAAATGAAGTGTGGAGTCGCATTCATAGAGATGCACCAGTGTGGTTCCTTAATTACAACAAATATACCCCAGTATTGTAAGATGCTAATAATAGGGGAAGCTGGATGAGGGGTATATGAGAACCCTCTGTACTATTTTTTGCAAGTTCTCTGTATATCTAAAGTGATTCTGAAATAAAAAGATTAAGCAAAAAATTGGTTAAAAAAGGAATTATTGATATGGGTAACATCATGGATGAATCTCAGAGATACATATACATACAAAATTCAAGAAAAGGCAAAACTAATCAGTTCTTATGGATGTAACAATAGTGGGTAATTCTGGGGGGAAAGAGTGGGAAGGGAGAACAAGGAAATCTTATAGAGTGCTGGAAATATTCCATATCTTGGTCTGGGTAGCGATTGCAAGGGTTTGAGTAAAAAAAAAAAAAAAAAAAAAAAAAACAAGATGTGCACTTTATATGCTTTACTGTACATTTGTTAAATCTCAACTTAGAAAAAGTTTTTAAAATGCATATGAAGAGATGTCTGAAAGGATATTCATCAGATTTTAAGAATAGCTGTTTAAGGGTGGTGGGATTTTTTGATGACAGTTTCCTTTCTCCTTTGTATTTATTTGTAATTTCTTTCAATGATTCATATTTCGCAAATAAAAACAATGGAGACATTTTTCTTTTTTTAAAAAAATTCCGCCCAGTGATTCAATCACCTATCAGATTGGCAAAAATCTAAAATTTTAAGACACTTTTTTGGCAAAGTGTGAAGCAGTAGGCATACTGATTTTCTCCTCTGTTTTTTCTAGAAGTCTTACACTTTTGTGGTTTACATTTCAGTCTATGACTCATTTTGAGTTAAATTCTGTGTTAAAGTGTGACGTATGCGTGGAGGTTCATTCTTTTACATCTGGATATACAATTGTTTCAAAACCTTTTGTTGAAAAGACTACCCTTTCTCCATTGAATTGATTTTGCAGTTCTGTTAAAAATCAGTTAACTCTATCTGCATGGGTCTATTTCTAGGCTCTCTATTCTCTTCTATTGATCTATATGTCTGTCCTTTTGCCAATACCACACTATTTTTATCACTGTGGTTTTATAGTAAATCTTTAAGTTGTAAGTCTACAGAAAGTCTAAAAGAACATCTCGAATTGGCCCTGATGGCCGGCCTAGTGGTTAAAGTTTGCACTCTCAGCACTTCAGTGGCCCGGTTTTGTTTCCCAGTCTCGGAAACACACCACCTGTCTGTCAGTAGCCAGGCTGTGGCGGCAGCTCACACAGAAGAGCTAGAAGGACTTACAACTAGAATATACAACTATATACTGGGGCTTTGGGGAGGAAAAAAAAAAAAAGAGGAATATTGGCAGCAGATGTTAGCTCAGGACAAATCTTTCCCTGCAAAAATAAATAAATAAATAAATACTTATAGTCTTAAAAAAAAAAAGAATATCTCATGTATTGGAAATGCATAATTAGTTTGCTAAACCTGAGCAATCCTATTGTTTCAGATGGTTTCTGGGAGGACTATTAGCCAGTGTCTTCACATGCTCCTTGATGATAACTATTGCTTGTAAGTAACAGTTTGCCAAATTGCTGCTCTGTTTCCTGTATTTCACTCCAATTTTGGTCATTTTTAAATATTTTCTCTTTCTCATCCAAGATGTTGTCAAGTCATTGTTTCCCAGCCTTGCCAGCTATTTCAAAGCCACCACCTGTGCTTGGTAAGTGTTATCATGATCTGGACAGAGATGACCATAACCTCATATCTGAGAAAGCTTTCTGCTGAGTAATAGATGGCTATGACTTCATATAGGAAAGCTCTGATCATTTATCCTGAAGACTGCTTTCTGTTACCACTAAAATCTAACAGTATTATCATCCTGTCTCCTAAATCCTTACTTTAAAATAGATAGAATTAATTTTTAAGGCAACAGGACTTACGAAAATAATAAATTTTAAATTTTTAAATTGTGTTTAAAGGGCTTTTACAGATTCCGAGCACTGCACTTGATAAATACCTCAGATTGAGGGGCCTTTATCTTATAGTTTCCCAAATAGCTGGCAAACTGCCCGTGAAATGATCTCAGTTACAAACTGCGATTGCTCTGCCATCTCTCACTCACATAACGATCCCCCTGTGTGCTGACTGCCATGGTTCAGCATATTTCAAAGAGTTACTGGGGTCTGGGTGAGATGCTCGTAGAATTTCAAACAGCCTGGAAAGCACCATCTCTTTGCAAGATGGATTGTGTTAATTACCTTCCCTTCAACATGGCTGCCAGAGGCCAACTCCCATGGCTTGGAGACTGAGGTCTATAATTCAAATGAGTTTACTAGCCTTTGCTCTTGACACCGTGTTGCCCTATTTATGAAATCTTTGTGTTAATTCTGAAATCACAATGGGGCTTAGTGAAGATTTATTTTGTTTAGGACTCAAGCCAATATTGATTTGCTGACACTTTGAGTGATGCTTCTCTGAATTTCCAGGCATTCCAGTTTTCTGGGGGCTGGCATTGACATAGCTAAGTTTTGTTTAACCTGATAGTTAGAAAATTGGGTCCTGAGGTCACCCGAGAAATCCCCATTCTTTAGCTCTTGTAAAATGACATTTGTTTAAAACTCTTCTAAGATACCCACTTCCTTCACCCTAGCTGCAGTTCCCTCTCTAGGTCTGTGCAGAGACATAGAAGTCTACCTCACCTGGCGTTAATTACAGGTTTGCATGTGTGCTCAGCTTTGTGGGCTGAGATGTCACACTAGTTAGGGCTGGACTAACCAATAATATCTGAACAAAAGATTTTCACCCAAAGAGCCATTTTGTAACCCAACTGTCAGAAATGAAAACGTTATTATTGTTTGTATAAATCCCTTCTCTTTGGGTTTTAAGATGAACATGTACCCTTAATCAGAAACACAAGTACCATCTTCTGAGGAAGCTCTGTAATGAGGGCAGAGTTTCTCCAAGTGAGGCATGGGGACATCTGCTCTAGAATCAACTGGGGAGCTTATATCCCAATTTCAGATCTTCCGAATCCAAATTTCTGAGGAGTCTTCATTTCTGATAGCCTTTCCAAGTAATTCTTTGCACATTGTCTCTGAGAACCTTGGAAATATGGTTTGTCAAACCTTTAGCCCTTGATTTTTTTAAAGTGAGGTACACCTTGATTTCTGAAGTGGCATCACTTAAACCTACTAAATCTTTATTGAGAACTTATGATGTGTTCTGTACTGCACTGGATGCCCAGTTCCACTCAGCAGACATTTATAGAGTCACTACCAAGGATCAGGCGCTGTGGCTAGGTGCCAGGATTGCAATGCCAAGGCTTCGGGATTTCAGAGTCTACAGAGACACGTAAAGGACAAGGTGAAGTTGCATTTTAATATGGTAGGTGTGAGCATAGATTTAGCACAAAGGCTATGGGACCACCAGGAGAGAGGTTTTGCCAGGATAGGAGGGGTGGGGGTGTGGCCAGGGAAGGCTTTCTGGAATGCCAATATCTGCCTGCAGAGGTTGTATCAGGTCTTATTTTCAGGGCCCCTCCCACTGTTCTGAGTTCCTTGTTCTCTCCTAAAAGAAATTAGTTCAGGACCAGGATGATATTTCTATCCTGCACACTCTCATCTACAGCCTCATTATGGAATAAGATCCTTCTTTGATTATTTGTGTACATACTTTAACTTGTTCTTCTCTCCTTCTCTATTTTTTCCTGTTTCCTGCCCACCCAGTCTCATATACACACACTCTTGCATTTAAGACCTATGACAGCAAGGACTATTGACTTCATTTTTCTATCCATCTCAATGCCTTGAAAATAGTAGATACACCATAAATATTCATTAAATTGAATGTATTTGTTTCACCATTTCTTAAAATACTTCCCTTATAGCCAAGAGCTCTGCATCTATATATTAAAGATTTTGCAATCTTCTCCCTCATATACAAACACATCCAGAAGCTAATAAGTCAAAGACATAGTTATTAATATCAAGAGTCAAGAATGACTCAGAAGTCTCCTCCAACAATCAAGGATAGAATCTAAGGGAGTGGAGACCAAACACTGAATTCAGTTCAAAAAACAATAATAGGGGGCTGGCCCAGTGGCGTAGTGGTTAAGTTTGTGTACTCTACTTTGGCAGCCCAGGGTTCACAGTTTTGGATCCCTGGCACAGACCTACACACTGCTCATCAAGCCAAGGTGTGGTGGGGTCCCACATACCAAATAGAGGAAGATGGGAACAGATGTTAGCTCATGGCCAATCTTCCTCACCAGAAAAAATAATAATAATAATAATAGGGTAGCCCTCCCATGCCTGTTCTGCACTATGTGTAGTTCAATTAGATTAGTGTTCTTTAGCACTTTATAATTCTCAAGTCACATACCTTTTCATACCACAATGCAATACTTATTCAACCACTTTCTTTTAAATTTGAAGTCTGTGAGCATGAGGACAGTCTATATTGTTCACCATTGACCCAAGTATCCCTTTCAAATAGGTATCCTGTGTGGCCAATAATGTGTTAGCATCAGCTGTGTACATTTTGCACATTTATGACTTCATAATAACAAAATGGGTAATGCCAATTCTCTCCACTCTTGCATGCAGGACTGTATGTTTATATAGTTGGTGAATGAATGAATAAACTTGAGGGAGTAGAAATATGAGGAAAACCCACTTGTTACCCTATGGGGATTTCTTTTCTATAGGGAGTAGTACAGATAGGGAGAGAAACCAATATGAAATGGTAGTTAACTAAGTACCAAGTTAGGATTAGAGGCAAAAAACCTCTGTAGCCTTTCAGAGAAACTGCTGGGAAAAAAAAGTTACTCTAAGCTGAGGCTCCACTTTCCTGGTTATGATTACCCAAGCTAGTTGTGTGTGTGTGTGTGTGTAGTGATTAGAGGAGATACTGCATTTCCTGTGTATGTGGATGAATTATGCATTTCTTTTCTCCTTTCTCTGATCTAGGTTTGCCAAAATTTGACAACCATTTGGGAGAGCCCCTGATGAATGTCTTCGATCTGAATATCTGGAAATTGTCTGGCTTGGAGTTGACTTGGAATCAACCGCTTTATTGGAAGGAAGTGAGCAACTGGATAATTGAGGGAAAAAAATTTAATTTGGTTATGTGATTTTTTAAAAAAAAATCTGTTTTGCCCTCATAATTGTAATAAGCTCATGAAAATAATATTAATTTGCCTTTCTTTTGCAAACACCAGCAGTTGAAGGGGAAAGGACTGGGAAATATGATCAAGAACAAACCCCCTGGGTAAATATTCCCCTATTATTCCCTAAGGCAGTGGTTCTCAAACATTAATTTTCATTAGAGAATTCTATGAGGAGTTTATAACAATGCAGATTCCTGGGCCCACCCACACACCCTATCCTTTGCTGAACTGCTTTAATTGAACAATGAAAGCAAGTTTATATAATCAATATCAACTTGCAAGTAACTAAATGCAGTTTGTACATAAAATATAATGTAGAAGTTCATCATTCTCCCCAAAGGAGTGGCTCAATAGGAAGTGGTGAGAATAGATAGATGGTTGATGGACAATGGGCAAGAGCCATTTTTTTTAAGATATATGCTTCTCTTGAACCATTTTCTTTACCAAGTTTTCAACCTTCTTGGGGCTCATGATTACCCTTCACTCAAATTGCAGTTAAAATAAAGATATAACACAGAAAAAATCCCTTAAGGGCAAAATAAAGGCAAAACACCAGAGTGCTTTGAAACACATAAAAATTGTGCAGTTGCACAACTGACTGGAGGGTTGTAGAAGACGTTCCCTCTCTATCCTTCTTGCTTGATATATGTTCCCAAAGCAAATATAGCTTGCAATTCAAATTTGTTCTATGTGATATTCTCTGTCTAGAAACTTGCATGGAGAAAATTGTCTTTCCTTAAAACGACAATGTCAAAATTTCACTTTTTATATCATTTGTATTTAGGGCATTTTTTGTTTGAAAAAAGTATTATACAAATAAATCAATGGAGTCATTGGCAAATTAAATATAAAGACTAAGAACAATCTTGGAGGAAAGTCATTCATTGAACACGGTGTTAGTTTCCTGGAGCTGCTTTAGCAAATTACCACAAACTGGTGGCTTGAAACAGCACCAATTTATTGTTTTACATTTCTGGAGGTCAGAAGTTTAAACTCAACGTGTTATCAGCACTGTTTGCCTTCTGGAGGCTTCAGGGAAGAATTGTTTCCTTGTCTTTTTCAGCTTCTAGCGGCTGCTTATATTCCTTGGCATGTGGCTCCTGCCTCCAGCATCAAAGCCCAGACCTCCAATCTCTTGGTTCCATCATCATACCAACTTCTCCGCCTCTGCAGTAAAATCTCCCTCTGCCTCCCTCCTAAGAGGACACTTGTGATTACATTTAAGGCCCACTCTGCTAATCCAGGATAGTCTCCCCATGTCAAGATCCTTAACCTAATCACATCTGCAAAGTCCCTTTTGTTATATAAGGTAAAATTCACAGGTTCCAGCAATCTGGATGTCTTTAGGGACCGTTATTCAGCCTACCACAGTCATACCTGAGATAGATTTACACAATGATTTAGTACATCTGGGACGCGTTCCATACATTTGTCTTTTTAATAAGTAGGCAAAATGGTCAGAAGAAAGTGGTCCTTGGACCACACTCACGGAATGCTTTGAAGAGGGATTTAATGGAGAGCTATTTGCATAGAGAGCCTTTCATTTTGATGCTCTATCAGGAGAGCATGGTTTTGAGAGTTGTTTATGTTTCCTGGGGCTCTGTGTTGCACACATTTATGACTTGATCTAAATGATAATGCCTTTCAAAGTAAGATGCTGAAATAACAACAATCGTTTACAAGTATATCAGATCTTATTGTGTATGAGGACCTTTCCTCCTCCGTTGTATAAATTGTCACTGCTGTAACAAATTACCACAGTCTAACGGCTTAAAACAACACAAATGTATTATCTTGCAGTTCTAGAGGTCAGATGTCCAAAAATGAGTCTTACACGTCTAGAATTAAGAGCCAGCAGGCTGTGTTGCTTCTGGAAGCTCCAGAGGAAACTCCATTTCCTTGCCTCTTCCAGGTTCTAGAAGCTGCCTACATTCCTTGGCCCGTGATCCCTTCCTCCATCTTCAAAACACATCCCTCCAACCTCTGCTTCTGATGTCACATCTCCTTTTCTGACTTTAGCTGTCTTGCCTCCGTCTCACAAGAATTCTTGTGATTATGTGAGGCCCACCCAGATAACCCAGGATAATCCCCCCATTTTAAGATCCTTAATTTAATCACATCTGCAAAGTTCCTTTGCCACAAATGTAACATATTCAGAGGTTCCAGAGATTAAGACGTAGACATCTCAGGCATCTCTTGGTTCTGCCTACCATGTAGACTTTATAATTTAACCCTTACAAACATACGATATAGGTGAGATTTAACCACAGGTTGTAGTCCTAAAACTGTATTTTTTCTCTACCCATACTGTCACTTATGTCATTAAATCTATAACCTTTGTTTAGGGACTTTTAGTGAACATACACTGTTTCGTTGTCAGCTCAGGTTTTATTTACCCAATTTTCAATAAATCTCCAATTTCTCTTGAAGATGTAACCTTTTTCCAATTTCGGTCCAAATCTTTTGGGTGAAGCTGACTCCACTCCATGTACTATGGTTGACGTATGTGATGTTGGTCTTCGCCAATCAAGGTATCCCATAGTGATTGGTTCAGGGCTGGGTATATGACCCAAATTAGACCAGTTGGAACCTATGAGACTTAATGCCTGAACTTTGATTGAGATATTAAGGAAGTGGACTTTCTCTTGTTGTTGGATTTGAGCCTGGAAGGATATAAGCTGGAACCTTTTCCAAATATGAGGAGAAATCCCTTCTGAGAATGGACCAGCATAAGGCAGAGCTGAGGAGAGACAAAGAAAGAGATTGGGCCCCAGTGTCTCTGTTTGAGACCTATTCAAGGTGCATTTGAAATTAGCATTTCCCCTGGAGTATTCTTTACATGAGCCAGGACATTCTTGTTTGGGTTCAGTTTTCTGTCCCTTGAAACCAACAGCCCAACTGACCCAGGACATTTCTCCGTTCCCGCTTCTGTTGCCCTCTCTCGGCTCATCATCTCTCCCCCATACTAGTCTGATAGCTAGTCTGATAGTCCCCCATGCTTTTCAGATCTTCTTGCCCTGTGTTGCATGCCGTTCTTCACCCATCCATCCTCTGCGTTACTGCCCATGTGCCTGATGCCTGCTATCCAGTCTCATCTGTGGCACTCTCTATGCATTGTATTCTCCTGTCATATTGAGCCACTTGGAGTTCCTTAGCCATGCCATACTCTCCCGTTCCTCTTGTCTTTGCACATGCTGTTCCTTTGCCTGGATTGCCCTTCTCTATCTTTCCTTCCTGGAAACCCCTCATCCTTCTAGAGTCCTCTCAACTCTCACCACCACATGTGAAGCTTTTCTTGAGTTGCCCATGTTGATTTAGGGAGTCCATTTCCTCTGGTCTTGCTGCCCTTCGTCCATACCTCCTTCATAACATTTCTAAGAGACTATAACTCTTATTTGTTCCTCCAGATGGCAATCACCTTGTGCCCCCAAACTTTACACAGGGCTAAATACTGGATAGGTCTTCAAAAATAGTGGTTGACTAAGTTTTAAGATGATGTGGTCATCACTGCCCCAGAATGTTCTAGGTCTTCAGAGCCTCTGCTTCCATTACTACCGAATACCTAGAATTTCTAACCAAGTCTTCCAGAGTGTCCAGTGCGGTTGTGCTGGAGGTTTCGCTGCGGGGGGTGAAGCCCCGGCAAAAACTGTGAAGTAACTGTTGGTTTGTGTGCCAGGGGCTGTTCTACAGCTTTAGCTTAACGTCAGCTGGTTTCATCTTCATGCTTCAGCTCTCCTGCCTTCCCAAAGAGGCTGGAGTTTGATCCTCTGTTGATTTCTCTAGTCGTCTCAGGTCACTTTGTCAAACATTGGTGGGAAAGATCCACTAGCCAAATTCAACCATCGGGTTTCCACAAAACATTTCTAACCTTTAGATGAATAGGAAAGTTTTTGATCCTCGCTAAGATTGCCTGGACCTTCAGTACACGAATGTCGTGGCACTGTGTCTGATTGGGAACAGCTGACTTTGGAGGCAGACACGCAGCCTGCTCTCTCTCTGCTGGTGGAAGGACCACTATTCACCCACTTACACAAAAGACGTACCTAATACACGGTAGACATTCAATATTTGCTGAATTAAACATCACTATTTTGACTTATTAATTATGCAGGTCTTCTAAAAACCTTTACTAGAGATACTCTCTTATTACTCTAGGAAGTGCAAATAATTTATAAATTTTTTCTAGCTCATTCATCCTTCCATGAATTCACTCAGTACAATTATTGATGACCGGATAATTACCCAACACTTGCTAGGAGCCAAGAATTTTATTAAAATGAAGGAAATATCATCCTACTCTCAAGAAGCAGACATCACAGCAGACAGAGAACCAGCGAAGTGTGTAATTGCAAGTATCATCATATGTATTTAAGAGCAAAAGAAAATGCGTTTTTTTCTAAAACATGTACAAATTCAGATTGTTCAGTAATTTAGATTAATTCTTCCTCTGGGTTAATGGGCATTGTGGTATTGTGTTCTCTTCCTAAGCGCAGAGAGAAGTAAGACATGAAAGGATAAGCAAAGTATCAAAAGCAGGGAGAGGGGAGAAGAAAATTTAAAAAAGCAGTTACACTGGTAATAAGCAAGCAGTAATAGGAAATACAATCATTGGTGTACTCACCATGCACCCCTGGCAATTTCATATTACTTGTTCTCTTAAACCTCATAACAACCCCTCTATGCAGGTGTGATGGTTAATCTTATGTGTCAATCTGGCTAGACTATGGTGCTCGGTTGTTTGGTCAAATACTAGTCTACATGTTGCTGTGAAGGTACTTTTTAGATGTGATTAATATTTATAATCAGTTGACTTTAAGTAAAGCAGATAACCCTCCACAAAGTGGATGGGGCTCGTCCAATCCATTGAAAGCCTTCAAAGCAAAGACTGAGGTTTCCTGAGGAAGAAGGAATTCTGCCTCCCGACTGCAACATACAAATTCTGCCTGAGTTTCCAGCCTGCAGCCTCAAGACTTCAATATCAACTCTTACCTGAATCTCCAATCTGCCAGCTTGCCCTATGAAGTTTGGACTTGCCAGCCCCACAATCACATAAGCCAATTCCTTAAAATCTCTTGATACATAGATAGATAGATAGATAGATAGATAGATATACATAGATATACAGATAGATAGATATACAGATAGATAGATAGATGGATAGACAGATGGATGGATAGATGGATGGATAGATGGATGGATAGATAGATAGATAGAAAGATAGATAGACAGATAGATAGATAGAGATAGATAGATATACAGATAGATAAACAGATAGGTAGTTAGATAGATAGATAGATATAGGTATAAATATAGATATAGATATCATACATATCTGTGGTTATATCTGTAAATTTCATCACACACACACACACACATATATATATATAATATATCCTGTTGGTTCTGTTTCTCTGGAGAACCCTGACTAATATAGCAGGTATTATAAATATGGTTTTATAAATAACCTTAGAGAGGTTTGATAACTTTCTCAAGGACACAGAGGGTAAGTAGGAGATGTAGGTTTCACACTCAGGCCTGTGAATCCCACAGCCCTCACTCTCCTCACTACTGATAGCTGCTGAGAAGGGTTACAGGAGAAGAGCATGGCACCTTGAAGGTCAAATATTGCCTGAGTCACTCTCTCTGGAAATATTAACTCAGGAAAATGTTTTCCACAAGGCAAAGGATTAAAGGCAAAGAGCCATCTTTCAGGAACGACTGTGACCTTTACGTTTTTCTTGTATCTCAAGCTTCTCAAATCTAGTTCCTCAGAGATTTG